GTGTTTACTGGGCTGGGTGGGTGTGGGCTTCTGGCGGGGGACAGCCGGGTGCCGCACGGGGGGGGGGGGGGGCCAGACCCAGAGGCCCTTCCCTGTGAAGGGGTGCCTGGCGGCGCGGGGTTCCCTGGAGCCCTGGACCAGGAGGGCCTGGTCTCAAGGGGGCACTGGAGATACTGGCCGCCGGTCCCGTGGGCTGGTGGATGGGAGTGACAGGTGGGTGTGCAGGTAGGGCCACTACCGTGCCCCCTGCTGCCAGCTGAGCCCTGGCCAGGCTCGAGGCTGAGGCCGCGGAGCTTGTCTTGGTGCCGGGTCTCCAGTCTAGGCCCAGGCACAGAGCCCAACCACAGAGCCAGGCCTTGTCCTGCCCAGCAAGCCACTGGCAGGGGCCCCAAGGAGGTGGTGCCCCTGCGTGGGGAGAGTCGCCACACCCCCTGCGCCCCTGTCCTCACTCACACTGCATTCGAGCCCCAGGGGTCCTGGGAAGGTCTCAGGGTCTGCGCTGGCAGTTAATCAAAGGAACGTGATGACTCCTTAGTGTGGAAAGACGTTCTCCATGGTTTACAGTGTGTAAGTTTGGTTTTTGGGAATTGCAGATTTTTTACTTTTTTGGGTTTGTTTTTTTGGGCCATTATCAGGTGCTGATGCTCAGGGGTTACTCCTAGGACCCTCTAGGTTGCCGGGATAGACCCTCTGGGATGCGGGTTGCCGCCTGGAAGGTGTGTGTCCTCCCTCAGGATAGCTCAGGTCACACGGCCCAGGCCTTGTGCTTCAGTCTCAAGTCCTGGGAGTCGCAAGTATATTTTTCCCCCTTTTTTTTTTCGGGTCACACCCAGTGATGGCTGTGCAGTCAGGAATCACTCCCGGCAGAGCGCAGGGGACCATATGAGATGCCATTGTGAACCCAGGTCGCCTTCATGCCAGGCAAGCACCCTTCCCACTGTCCTCTCCAGCCCCCAACGTGGAAACATTTTGTTCTAATTCCTGTCTTAGTTTTCCCTCCCATGGAAGTTTCCCTTTGCTGTTCTATGTGTCGTGTGGTGAGGCCAGACCCCACGTTCGGCCGTGGCCCCGAGCTTGGCTCCGGGGCTCTCACAGTTCCCGGGGTGGCAGTACACAGCTGCCGGCCGCTGGCATCAGCAGCCTCCTGGCTCGGACAGTCTGCCCGGGTGGCACTCACCACCCGGGGGCCGCGCGTTGGAGTCCTGGTCAAGGCCCTTCCGTGCTCAGCTATCCAGCTGCCACCTTCTTCCTCATCTGCTGGGGCAGGAGCCCCTCCCGCCCTGCCTGTTAACTACCCCTGGCCCTGTCCACTTGCTCCCTGTCCTTCCCTGGGCCCTGCCTTTGTTCCTAGGGTCCCTGGGAAGTGCACTGGCAGCCCTCAGGGTTGGGTTCCTGGCTCACGTTTTGTTACTTTCTTTTTCTTTTTTTTCTTTTTGGGTCACACCTGTTGTTGCACAGGGGTTATGCTTGGCTCACGCCCTCAGGAATTACTCCTGGCGGTGCTCGGGGCACCATATGGGGTGCTAGGGAACGAACCCAGGTCAGCTGCACGCAAGGCAAACGCCCTCCCCGCTGTGCGATCGCTCCAGTCCACATTTTGTTATTTCCTGTGTATGAGGTGAGGTGAGGGTCTTGTCCCCAAAAGTCACAGGATCAGGTGGGAGGGTAGAACCGGGGAAGAGGGGTGAGCACCTTGCATACTGGAGACCCCTGTTTGAACCCATGGTTTCACATATGATCCCCCCAGCACTGTCAAGAATGATTATTGAGCACAGCCAGGTGTGGCCCCCAAAATTAAAAAAAAAACCCTAAAACAAAAAGTTACAGGAACAGCTGAGGAAAAGAGGGGGATTTGTTGGCAAGAAAGCAGCTTATGCTGGGACAGATGTCAGCCAGCGGCCAGGGCTCTGGTTTCATGCCCAGCAGTGACATCACAGCAGTGACATCACAGGGCTCTGGTTTCATGCCCAGCAGCGACATCACTGCAGTGACATCACAGGGCTCTGGTCTCACATCACAGCTTGGACATAATTCTCTCAGCTTTTCAAGACGCTCACTCATGGTCACGAGGGAGGTTCACAGCAGAGACAAGTGGACACGCATGGCGAAGAAAACAGCAGAAATGTCAGGGAAAACGGTTTTGTTGTGGTTTGCTTGGGGGCCTCACCCAGAAATGCACAGGGATCACCCCTGGAGAGCCCGGGATGCCCACTGGGCGGGCCACAGGGCAGGCTGGTGCCAGGCAAGCGCCCTCCCGCCATGGAGTGCTCTCAGGCCAGTGAAAAGAGAAGGGTGAGGCGGCCTCGGCTTCCCGTGCACAGGTCAGGCTACCTGGGAACCTCACCGGGGAAAGTCCTGAGGCCCTGCCTGGGCCCAGCCGCAGCAGAATGTCACACACACATTCTCCAGAGAGGCTGCATTTTCTCCCGACCTCAACCCATTCACAGTTCCCCCAAGCCCCGAGTCCATCCAGGACAGGGCAAAGTGGCAAGAAGTCCTGCTGGGCACAGGCCTGTGGGTGGAAAAGAACCCTTCCTCCATCCTCAGCAGGCAGCAGGGTGAAGGTACCTCAGTCTGTCTCTGTTCCCCACCATGGAGGTTGTCCTGGGAACTTAAACACAAGACTCCAAGTGCGCCAGTAGCAGTTTGGTCCCATGCACCCTTGGGGGCTTGGGGCAAACGGTAGCGAGATGGCTGATCCAGGCTCAGAACAGCTGCTCGCATTTTGACGGAGATCACATGGAATCTGTCAGTTGATTTGCGACGTAACGATCTTCCAGTCTGTAAATATCTGTCCCGATTTCTCCTGGAGTCATGCTGTGCTCAGCGCTCAAGCCTGACCTGGCTTTCGTGAGAGCTTTCCCCTGCTGTGCCCAGTGGGGTCTCTGGGGCCCACCTGGGACCGGTCACTGCCCACATGCTGCGTCTTAGCTGGCATCCTTCGCCGCCATGAGCCAGGGATGGGTCCTGGTGCCACATGGCTCAAAGGTGTCGCAAAGGCAGAAGTGGGTCTTTTCTGGTGGAGGAAGAAGCGTCTGGAAAGTACCAGGAAACTCTAGAGAGGAACTGAGGGAAATGGCTTTGGGGACTGGAACTCCCCAGTCTGGGCTCTGACCCCTAAATTTGCATAGCAAATACCTTGATTATTTATGGTCACTCTACAGTCACCGCGGGCGATCCGGGCAGGTTGGACTGGGCGAGGGCAGTGGGTGTAGGGATGTCCACCTAACGTCTCTCTTTTCAACAAATCCAGAGGTGAAGTTGATCCTCTCAGCTGGGGGGGAGGGGGGAGGAGAGCCCAGTGGGCAGAGTGCAGGAGCCCCGCCTCTCATTCTTGGCGCTAGAGGGTCCCCTGAGCCCCTCCAGGGCTCACAGCACTGCATAGGGCCCCAAAGCCAAAATAATAACCAACTGACCTCTCAGTAAGGCCAACAACTAACACGCAACGTTAGTAACACCTGACAGGGTGTCGGGGTAGCGAGGAGGTCAACTCGCTGGGGGCCACCACGGGACCTGAGGACTCGCCTGCCAGGGACAGACTTCCTGCTGAGTGGGAAGACCGGGTGGGCTGGGGGCTCCGGGGTGCTGCGTGGGCCCTGGTCACCTCCAGGAGTGAGCAGGAGAAGCCCAGCCCTCTCCTACGTGGACACCCTTACTGGGGCAGCACCTGGGCAGCAAGGGGACCCAGGCTCCAGGACAGAACCGGCCCGCTGGGGCCGCGTCCCGGAAGCACCTGGGGCCACCATCTCCACTGCGTCCTCTGGTGGTGGCGGCTGGCCCCGCCATGATGGGTCCACCCGTGAACCCCCAACCGATGGACCTCCATGGCTGGGGCTCCCTCTAACTTCCACAGTTAGGTTGAGGCCCTCAGCCCAGGCCAGCCTGTGGCGTCCTCACTGTAGGCTCCGTGAAGGCCCCACAGTGCCAGTGCCCACCAGAGGGGATGGAGAGACGGACGGATGGACATGGTAGGCGCAGGGGACGGCCAGTTACTCCACCCAGTTCCCTGGGAGACCCAGTGGGCCCCTCCTTGGGGACCACTTTCCCCCTGGGTGGGGGGGTGGCCTGGTGGGGGAGGGGTATTCAGGACCCAGGCCAGCGTGGACGCGGGCCCTGGCGCGTAGTGCTGCCACTTGGTGGCGCTATACACCCTCCCTGTCCATTAAAAGGGGGACAGGGACAGGCAGCTCTGCCCCTCTTCCTCCCTCCAAGCTTGACCGGCAGTGGTCTGGGGAGGGGTCAGGCCCTGCTCTGGGCCTCAGGTTCCTCCCAGTGTGGAAGGCCAGTGTCATGGCCAAGCTGGGCAGCCCCGGGCCTCCACCTCGGGGTGCTCAGGGGTCGTGGTTGCCTCAGTGCTGGACAGGCCAAGCCCGACGGGGCCTGAGGCGGGAACCTGCTGGCTCCGTATCAGTGGGGCTCAAGGGCAGCAGTGGGATCCACACCCACACGAAGGGCGCGGCGGTGCCCACGGACGCAGGGTTAAGGAGTTGTCCAGAGCCCGCACTGGCCACACAGGGGCGCGGGGACCCCATCTGCCCAGAAAGAGGCGAGTCAGGCGGACAGGTGTTTACTGAGGGGACACGAGGCCAGGCCCACCGCCTGCCAGCCACAGCGTTGAGGCGGGGACCCCGAGGTCGCGCACCCCGGTGCCCCAGAGCCCGGCAAAGCCGCGGCCAGCCCAGACTGTGGCGGTGACCACAGGTGTCCCGAGGGGGTCTGGGCTCAGCCGAAGCAGAACGGGCAGCAGGTCCCCATCTCCCAGTTCCGGGCCCTTCCTGCTGCCCGCGCCTGCCCCCATGCCCTGCCCAGGTCAGCGGCCCCCCTGCGTGCCCGGTCCTGGCCTTCCTGGTGGGGGTTTCCGGCAGCTCTGGGCAGGCTCCCCACTCAGCTGCGGGGGCATGGGCATGTCCTGGCGTCTCAGGTTGCTGCGGTGTGTTGGGGTCCGGGAGAGGAGGGGGCTGCCTCAGGGGCTGGCGGTCCAGCAGGCACACCCAAGCTGGCCACAGGCTGGCCCAGGTGCCTGCCTCCCGCTAGCCACTCACAGCACGGGGGTTCGCACTGCCGCTGCGGGATAGAGAGGGGCATGTCGGTCATCCAAACCTGCGGGAGGGTCAGTGGTCAGGCCGGTGCCTCTGGGGGCAGAGGCCGAGTGGCGGAGAGGGGGACCCCACACACCTGGACGCAGGTGTCTGCCTCACACAGCCCTGCCCCGGGAAGGTCGGCGACGGCCACCCCCGGCTCTGCTGTGGGGCCCACCTGGGTGGGGAGCGGCTGGTCACCAGGGCCGCTGCATGCCCCTCTGTGGGCTGTGGGGAGTGGGGGCTGCCCTGACTCACCGGGAATGTGGGGGCCACCTGGCGGCAGGTGGGGGCGCCCCCCCACGACAAGGTGGGCCTGGAAGCTGGCAGGGCCGGGTAAGAGGAAGGGGACCCGCAGGGACCCCCCAGAGGGTGCCGGCTGGACGGCCATCTTCCAGGCTGTGGGGCGGGTGGGTAAGGCCCCGCTCCCGTCCTCCCGCCCCACCCAGGCCCCAGGCCCCGCAGGCACCTCACCTGCGCTAGGCCACTGCAGGAACGGGCACCGCAGGTGAGCGCCCAGCCTGGTGGAGAACTGCAGACAAGAGGGCCCCCCCGGCCCCTGGTGTCACCCCAGATGGGAGGGGACCGTCTGGGGTGGCGATCCCCCAGGCACCCCGCCTCCCGCCCCTGGGGGTACGGGTGACTGGCCACTCACCTGCAGGCAGAGCTGGGGCTGTGGGTCCACCCCGGGGTACTGCACCTGCGGGGAGGGGTTCTGGTCAGGCTGGGCCGTCGGGCAGGCCCCGGCCCCAGTGGACACTCACTCTGCGGTGTGCTGGCCGCTGCGACTGTTCCAGCTCTCGACACTCGGTCCCTGGCCCTGGGCGCCAGCACAGGCTCACGTGGCCACTCACGGGACAGGTGGGCTCCCAGCTCAGTGCCCGGCTCATGGGGTGGTAGTGGATGGCGTCCCACAATGCGTCTGTGTCTGCAGGGACCCTTGCCCCACAGCCCCGTCAGCGGCCACAGAGGCCAGCCCGGGCAGGCTGAGGACCGTGACTCAGCGTCGCAGGGCCCCTCCAGACCCCCTGCCTCCCCCTCCCCTCCCCCAGGCCCTGTCCTGCCCGGCTCCGGCTCTGCCCCTCCCGCCCCTCTTGGCTGCTCAGAGCGCACTTGCCGTTTTCAAAGGGGCAGATCTGGACGCGCACGGCATCGGGGGTCGCAGGCCAGCCCTGCGGAAGGGGCCGGGGTCGGTCAGCAGAGTCACCCCCAGCCCACCCCCGCCACCCCTCTCTCCCTTCCCGCAGTCCAGGCCACAAGCACTGACCTCAAGGCACAGGCAAGGCAGCGCTTGGGTGTAAGGCAGCGACACTGTCCGGGAAATCCTGTTCGCCGGGACCTGCGGGGGTTTGCGGTGGGCACCGGAGCCCAGAGGCTGGGGGCGTGGCCTGTGGGGTGGGCGGGCCCGGTGGAAGGGGTGTGGCACGATGGTGGGCGTGGCCTTTGTGGGATGGGGCATGCCATTTGATGGGCGTGGCCACGGAGGGAAGGGCGTGGCCAGTGGGGATGTGGGCGGGGTCTGTGGACTGGGCGTGGTCAGTGGAGGTGTGGGCGTGGTCTGTAGAGTGGGCGTGGCCAGTGGAGGAACAGGGCGTGGCTAGTGGGGATGGGGTGTGGCTCTTGGTGAGACAGGGTCTCGGTGGGCGTGGGCATGGGTCGTGGCGGAAGGTGGCCCCTCTTGCCTGCAGTGGCCCGACTACGTCCTGGCAGGTGAACCACTTGCGACAGAGCCGCACATAGTAGTCGGAGGCTCCGGGGGCCTCGGGGGCGTCGGGCACCTGCACCAGAACGGCCCGGCGGCTGCGGTCCACCTGGCAGGTGAGCTTCCTGGCTGTGGCGGGGGCAAAGTGGGACTGACCTGAGCACCTGCACGGGGATGACCCTGCGGCTGCCCGCTGAAGCCTCAGGATTCCCCCAGTCGGGGAGGCAGACGCAAGCACTCACCCAAGCACTCGGGAATGTGCCTCCTCACGTCCTCGTCCGAGCAGTCTGCAGACAACAGGTGACAGGGAATGCTGAACTCCCCTCGCTGGTCCCCGCCAGCCCCCGCGCATGTGGCCTCCATGGCCCAGGGACACCCACGGGAGCGCAGACCTGCTGGGGTCCCTCACCTGGCACACGGTACTCCTGGGCCAGCTGGACCCCGCAAAAGTGGGGGATAGTCCTCAGGGTGATGTGGAGGGTCTGGCCCACGCTGGCCTCGAAGCATTCGAAGTGCACCTGAAGCTGGGTGTAGGTGGGTGTGAGCCGGGGGTCTCGGGGGTCAGGGGGCGTGGACGGGCTGTGGGACTGGAGTGCAGGCCCCAGGCTGGGGGTCCGGGCCTCACCTGCTGCCCTGCCGCCTGCAGGCGGGAGGCCTTGGGCAGCCGCACGGCCTGGCACTGTGTCTCCTGGGTGTCCAGGCTGGAGGAGCAGGCCTCCAGGCCCCGCAGGCTTCCTGGGTGCAGGAGCACCACCCCTTGAGTCTCCGCTCACAGGGGCAGCGGGGGTCCCCGAGCCCCAGGCAGGTTGGAGCCCAGAGCTGCACCCCCGGGCGTTTCCCACAGGCCTCTGCTCACTGTGCAGCCAGACGGTGGCCTGGACACGCAGGCGCAGGGCGCAGCCCCCCGGGGGGACACACTGCAGAGCTGCGGAGAGCGTCAGGCCTTCCAGGACCCCCACAGGCATGGACACGGGGGGTGGCCGGCAGACGTTCCTGAGGATGGGCCCTGTGGAGGACGGGCGGAGGCTCAGGACCACAGCGTGGGCTGGGGGGCGAGGGGGCCTCCACCTGACCCTGCGCTCGGGGAGCTCTCCACACTGAGCCGCGAGGACACAGCGCGGGGCGGCACAGAGCCCAGCTCAGGGGAGCCAGTGGACGAAGCGCAGGACCGGAGGCCTGGCCAAAGCCACCAGGTCATGTTCCGTGCCAGGCCTTATCCGAGCCAGGCCTTAAAGGTGCAGTAAAGACGGCCGGGGTCTGGGAGGGGCGGCCGAGTGTGGCTGATGAGGGCAGCGAGGCAGCACAGCCTGGGCCCAGATGAGCAGGGCACAGACCCGGACCGGTGTCTCCTGACCGTCCTGCAGCAACTCCTGGTCGTTCTGCGGTCCCTGCCGGTTCTCCGGACACACAGAACAGGCCTGGGAGGAGGTCCAGAACCAGGGTTCCTCTCGAGGGGCTGGAGGCAGCCCACGCCCCTCGGCAGGCTCCATGCCCCCAGAGCACCGCACACCTGAACTGTCATAGTAAAAGGGTGTGGATGATGCATACTACCATCTCAGTGCAATGAAACTGAAAGTCACTCTGACCTTCGGGGAAATCTCCAGTTGTCTGGAAAGAGCATTGCATGCAACGCTCTTCGAAGAAAAGGGAAAGTGGTACCTTTGGCTGAATGAAAATGAAGAGACAAGGTACTAAGAACCTAAGGGCGGGGGCTACGGCTGGGTGGGTGCACTCGCCCTGCAGGTCTGAGGCCTGGGAGCTCCCCCGCCCCGACTCCATGTGGTCCCCAGCTAGGCTGTGTGTGGCCCCCACACAAAATAACAGAAACTGTGGGGCGGCTGAAGCAAAATTTAGGGGCGGTTTTGTAAAACTGAACTCCACTGTTGGGTAAAAGAATCTCCATCAGCAGCTCAGGTTTGAGGCGTCCTTTATACCGCCACATGTCCCAGCTCGGCAGGAGGGAAGGAGCAAGGTGGGGGGGAGGGAGCTGGGGGCAGGGCAGACCCCGACCAGCCCAAAAAGTGCGGAGACAGCCCCCGAGCTCCAGGGAAGAAAGTGGCGGGAATGCCAGAGATGCCGCCAGGAAGCAGGTCTGAGTGCCTCTGGTACCCAGGTGGACCAGCACGGACGGCCTGGCCAGGGGGGACCCGGTGCCGGACAGCTTGGAGCCAGAAAAGTGCAGCCTTGAAGAAGGTGGTGGCAAATGGACTCCAACCACACTTAAGAGAATCACGGAGCTGCCCAGTGTGGTTTGTCCTAGGGAGTCGGTGGAGAGGGGGGTTCGGGGAGGAGAGGGAGCAGGTGCCACTGGTGGTGGCAGAAAATGTCAGAACCACGGTTTTCCTCCAGAGAAGCATGGCCCAGGGTGACAGGGGAGGGCGCGCTCGGGTCCCGGACCCAGCGCTGCAGGGACTGGGGAATTGCTGCACTCCGCGGGGACAGGGCAGGGCTGGGCAGGCCCCTGAGCCCCCGCGCCTGCCCGGAGCCAGGCCGCAAGCCCCCACCTGCTGCCTCGAGAGAAGCAGCCCCCTGGCATTTGCTTCAGCCAGGTCACTTCTGACTTCAGAGCATCGTGCTCCTCCTCCAAAAACTACTGTCTACCTGTCTATGCCACTGTCCGTCTGTCTATGCCACTGTCCATCTGTCTGTCACTGTCCGCCTGTCTGTCCCACTGTCGTCTGTCTGTCCCGCTGGTTTCGCCTGTCGCCAGTCTCCCGGGGGCACTGCTCCCGTCTGCGGCCCGCGCTCGCCCTCTCTGCGGCAGCCCCGCGTCCTCTGCACGGAGAGCAGCTTTCCGAGGATGCACGGGGCGCGGGATTCTGCACTGGGCTCGGCTTGGCTCCGGCTGAGAGCCAGTGACAGGGAGACCCCGCCCCGTGGGGTACTCACAGCTGCTGCGGCTCCTGCAGGCCAGGCCCTGGGGACAGAGCGAGGACAGGTTGAGGTGGCCCTCCCCCCCTCCCTGCGAGGCTGGGGCCGGCGGGCGGGCAGGGCCACGCGGGGGTTTCCGTGGGGATTCTCGGGGTTTCCCGGCCAGGAGTCTGGGGGCTGTCTCTGGGGCGGGGACCAAGTGAGAACCAGGTGGGGCACCCTGCACTCCAGGAGTGGGCTCGGGGCACTGACCTGTCGGGGGGGGGGGGGGTGTGCGGGGGGGCCTGAGCCCTCCATGTCCACCTCCAAAACCAGATCCCCGTCCCCACCCGCCCAGGGCCAGGCCCAGGACAGGCTCATGGCAGCTCCCCGTGCCCCTCTCCTGGTCCGATGCACTTCCTGAGCCTGCACTGGGACCCGAGGCAGCCCCAGCCCTGCCCCCCCACAAGCCCCGCCCCCTACTGTCCCCCTCAGCCCTGTCCCCCAAGCCGCAGTCTTCCCCCGCAGGCGCTGTCCCTCCAGCCCTGCTCCCCAGCTGTCTCCCCCAGCCCTGTCCCCTCCCCCCTGCCCCCTAGCCGAGTCCCCCCCCCAAGCTCCCTGGCCTGCGGCCGCCCTCCTCTTAGAGGATGGGGTGTCCCCAAGTGTCCCGGTGCCCGGCACTGAGCTGCCCCCACCTCAGGCTTCTCTGGCCTCAGTGATTCTCCCGGGGGACAGGGGACACACCTACAGCCCGCCCTCAGGGCCTGAGAGGTTGTGAGCGCACGGGGTCACCATCCCTCACCCCCGCACCTGCCCCACAGGGTGTCCCCACAAGCCCCCCGACCCCGGCTGGCCCAGGTGATACGCAGAGCTGCAGCCTGCGCGCTCACCTGCGGAGGGGCAGAGGAGGCGGGTCGGGGGCTCACCTGGGAGCAGGAGGCGCCGCATGTGGCCGCCCGCGGGAGGGCCAGGCCGCGGCTGCCCCAGGCGGCACAGAGCAGGGCGAGCGCCCACGCGGCGGGCATCGGGCAGGTGGCGAGGTGCTTCCCGGCGGCCGCCTCCCGGGACACGCGTTCCCGGTAGATTCACCCGCTGGGGTCGGGTCACGTGGCTGGCTGGGCGCCAGAGGGCTGCAAGGGACGAGCCCGGGAGCCAACCAGCGTTCCTGGGCGGCTCGGAGCCTCCCTGGGGCGGGCCGCTGGCCTGGGGCTGGCTCCCGCGACCCCCACCCCGGGACTCACAGGGCCCGCAGCCTGAGGTTGCCTCTCCCTGCAGCATCACCACTTCCCCGCAGGCTGGACCTCCAGTGTCCAAGAGGGCAGGCAGCCCCACCCCCACCTTGGCCCAAGTGCTCCACGGGGAGACAGGGAGGGAGCACGCAGGGAGCAGTGCCCAGGGAACAGGGAGCACCCTCTGGGAGCACTGCTAGGGATCGGGGAGTGTCACCCGGGATCCGAGGGTACTGAGGGAATCGGGAGCATAGACAAGAATGGGGAGCACCCCTCAGAGAGCACTGCTGGGACCGAGGGCGTATGCTCAGGGAGGACTTCAGGGATCATTTCCCAGATATTGGGACCCCCAATAAGCAGTTATTTCCTCACGGACCCCTACACTGCCCCCCCCAGGACAGTGCCTCCCTGCCCAGCCTGTGAATGGGGAGGAGCCCCCCAGGGGTCCGCTCATTAGAGGGATCTGGAAGCCGGGATCCAGCCCAGGGGTGAAGTCTGCTGCAGGATAATGAGATTTTTTTCCCCCAAACCCAGCAATGCTCAGGGTTCCTCCTGACTCTGTTCTCAGGAGTTACTCCTGGTGGTACTGGAATGGGGGCATATGGGATGCTGAGGATTGAACCCTGGCCGGCCGCTTGCCAGGCAAATGCCCTCCCCGCTGGACAATCGCCCTGGTCCCAACATGGTGAGTTTGGCGATGACCACCCACCCTGTCCCCAGCCCAGCTTGCTTTGAGCGGGCCGGCAGGGCCAGGCTCATGGTGCAGTGAGGATGGCGGCCTCACCAGTCCCTGCATGGGCCGTGCAGTGCACCCCAGACGCCAGGCCACCTGCCAGGGGCCACCTGCCACCCAGAGCCTGCTGTCCCCACGGCCTGTGACCCAGGCACTGGCTGCGGTCCGGGCCCGCCTGAGTCTGAGGGTCTGAGGTCCGCCCATCCCCCACAGGTCTGCAGCCGGGGAAGGGGTGCCCCCTCCGCCCTGCCAGCGTGCTGGGGCCCCCTGAATGAAGGGGGTGGGCAACCGCCTGCGGGACCTCCCGGGCTCCTTTGGGTGAGGGGGGCGGGTGCAGGGCTCCTCGCAGCGCGGGGCGGGGAGTCAGTCTGCAGTGGGGGCGGGGCGGGGGCTCGGTCAGGAAGCACAGGGGGCAGCGCCGCTTGGCTAAAATAGCTCTGTATAGGCCCGCGTGGCGTGGGGCTCCCCGGGAGCTCGGGGCCCGGCGTCACGGGGTCCAGGGGCAACCGAGTGGCACGAAGGCAGCGCCCTGCAGGACGGACGCGCAGAAGGAGCGGCAGCGCTTGCAGGGCTGGGCGGGCGGCACCGACCCGCGGCACACCAGGCAGGGCATCTGGACGTCGGGGGGCAGCCCTGGGGGGGAGACGGGCCCTGAGATCCCGCCCGCCGCCCGGCCCCGCCCACCGCCGAGGCTTCGCCCCGCCCACTGCCCGGCCCCGCCCACCACTGCTGACCACGCCCACGCCGGAGACCGGCCCAACCACAAAACGGAGACCACGCCCACCTCCAACTAGCGGCCACGCCCACCCGGTCATGGCCAATCTACCAGAGGCCCCGCTCCTCCACCCCCCCCCGCAGAGGCCACGCCCACTACAGAGGCCACGCCCACCACACGCTGGAGACCAGGCTTTGGCCACGCCCACTTCCACACCAGAGGCCACGCCCACCCACCCCACCAGTGGCCCCCATTCTGCCCACCTCCTCCGACCCGAGGCCTCTTCCCCACCCTGCCCCACACCCCCAGGGGTGCCCGCCTCACGGCCGCCCTTGGCACAGGTGGGATTCAGGGGTTTCACCCTCCTCGCCCATCTGCATGTGTGAGCCCATCTGCTTCTGCCTCTCCCACCTGGGGGTCCCTTCACTCTGCCTATGCCAGGAGTGGGGGCAGGACAGAGGACAGGGCTCCTCCCAGGCAGCACTGCCCAGCCCCGAGATCCTGTGGGCAGTGCCAGCCTGAAGTCCAGGAGCAGGGGCAGGGCTGAGTCACGCTCCACCCGGCCTTCCAGTCAGCCCCACCTGGGGCAGGTCTGGGCGTGGTGCTCAGCTATGCAAAGCAGCCCAGTTTCCTGGTCAGCACAGACCGGGAAGCCCAGGGCTGTGCCCCCCTCTCCCGCCCCTGGCCTCGCCCGAGCCTGCCCGGCCCTGAGGGTGGAGGCGGCGGCAGCGCTGGGCCCGCTGAGCTCCAATGGGCAAGGCCCCGAGTTAATCCTGGAGGCCTCTACAGCCCTGCAGGGCCTGAGCACTGAACTCAGTCCTATTGGGCCAGGATCTCCAGCGGTGGCCCCTGGGCCCCTGAGCAGTGCTTTGAGGCCCTCACTGGGAAGTACGACGGAGGGGACACGTGACAGCAGCTTCCAGCAGCAGCAGAGATGACCCGGGGCTGGGAGACGGCGCGGCCTCCTGCACACCACACCGAGAGCGGCTCCTGGCCACCATAACAGCAGAAGCAGAGGGAGGGGACGAGATGGCGAGGGGGTCCGAGGAGACCCGTGAGGAGCACTTTCGGCTCCTCCTGAGGGATCCGAGCAGACGGAGACGCCGGGTTGGTGGGAAGGAAGCCTGAGTCTGCTGAGTCAGCGTTTCCACCCCCAATCCACCCGTGTGTCTCCGTTCCGATTCAGGCCACGTCACAGAAGGGGGCTGAGGTGGGACTCGGTCAGAGCGTGGCCAAGAAGGACCGGGGCCCTTGGGAACAGGAGCAGAGGGCTGTGTCCTGCTGCACAGGGGACAGTCTCCGCACAGCGTCCACTCAGGAGGGAAGAGGGTTTTGGAGAAACACCCATAGGAAATGGAGATGGCTGAGGAGACAGAACTGCACCCGTGTCTCAGACAGGCACAAACATCAGTTCCTGGGGCCGGAGCCACAGCACGGCAGGGAGGGCGTTTGCCCACAGGGCCCCCGGAACCCCGCCAGGTGTGTTCCCTACATCAGGAGTAAGCCCTGAGCCATGCTCAGATGTGGTCTGCCCTCCTGCCCCCAAACAAAACTGAACAGCAGAGGCTGGAGCAATAGCACAGCAGGGAGGGCATTTGCCTTGCACACGGTCGATCCGGGTTCGATTCCCGGCATCCCATATGGTCCCTTGAGCACTGCCAGGAGTAATTCCTGAGTGCAGAACCAGGAGTGACCCCTGTGCATCACCGGATGTGACCCAAAAAGCAAACAAACAAACAAACAAACTAATCATCAGAGTCAGATTGATTAGGGTCTGCGTGTCCTAATGTGTTCCAGAACCAAAACCACTGGTGAAGGGAGCAGTGTTGAACACTGTGTGTTGGGAACCCAGTCATGGATGACTGTAATCTCACAGGTACTAAACCAAAATGAGGGGTGGGGAGACAGAGAGAGAGAGAGAGAGAGAGACAGAGAGAGAGAGAGAGAGAGAGAAGCTCTTAGCCACAGTAACTGGTAAGTAATCTTTTAAACTACAGGGTCACGGTCATGGTCCTCCCATTGTTTATCGATTTGCTCGAGCGGGCCCAGTAACGTCTCCATCATGAGACTTGTTACTGTGTTTGGCATATTGAGTACATCACGGGTGGCTTGCCAGGCTCTGCCGTGTGGGCGAGATACTCTCGGTAGCTTGAGGGGTGGAGGAATCGAACTCGAGTCGGCCATGTTGGCTGCGTGCAAGGCAAACGCCCTACCGCTGTGCTATCGCTCCAGCCCAAACTACAGGGTAAGGAGAGATTATTTTATTTATTCCAGGGCCAAGGCTCACAGTGCTCCAGGCCGCTCGGGGTCAGGGTTCCAATGTGGGGCTCCTGTTTGCAAAGCAAGTGCTCCAGCCCTTTCCACCACGCCCCCCAGCCCTCGTTATTTTTTGGTTTTGGGCCACGCCTGGGCTTATTCCTGGCTCTGTGCTCAGGGATGGGGCGACCTTATGGGATGCCAGGGATCAAACCCTGGTCGGCCACACGCAGGGCAAGTGCTCTCCCTGTTGTACTATTTATTGCTCGGGTCCAGCTGTCTGTTTAAATATCCCTTTCCAGGGCTGGAGTGACAGCACAGCGGGGAGGGCGTTTGCCTTGCACGCCGACCCTGGTTCGATTCCCAGCATCCCATATGGTCCCCTGAGCACCGCCGGGAGTAATTCCTGAGTGCATGAGCCAGAAGTAACCCCTGTGCATCGCCAGGTGTGACCCAAAAAGAAAAAAAAAAAGAGAGAGAGAGAGAGAAAATATCTATTTCCCCTGCTGCGGTGAGGACGGGGCCACCCTTAGTCCTTAGATGCGTGGGCCCTGCGCATCTGGCCAACAGGGCCTGGCCTCAGCCACACTGCTGAACACAGGTCACACCCCAGCTGTGCCAACAGCACAGGCAGCTGCTGGTACACACTCAGTGGGGCGGGCAGCGTGGGCGACGGACCTCGCAGCCTCGTGTTTGCAAGGCAGGCGCCTGGGAAAGAATTCCTGAGACGAGAACAGAACTGACTCAGCTGAGGTGCCCCTGGGTGCATGGGTGGGAGAGGAAGATGAGGTGGATTTCACAATGGGACACTCCAACTATTAGACCAAAAAAAAAAAACCAACGGGAAAATTGGTTTTCCCAGTAAAATGGCAGGATCTGGAGAGGGTTATGCAAAGCAAAATGGGGGGGGGCGGGGGGGAGGAAAGGTGAGTGAGTAGGATGACGTCAGCCCTGCAGGTGAGACTGATGGACGGACGAGACGGACAGACGGGGGACATGGACAGCCCCACTGAGAGGACGGGCGACAGATGCACGGGGCCGGGCTGGGAGGGGGTCAGAGAGGGAGGGGCCTTGATTTGTGGCAAAAGGCAGAGACCAGCCCGGGCA